GCTGCATCGATCGACTGAATTGTACGCACTACTGTAATCGAGTAACACAGCTACTGTCGATCTGCGGTATGCATGGCGCTGCTCTAGCATGTGCCGCAGCGTGAATATGTGGTCTATACGGCTACGTCCAGGGCGGAAACCTACCTGCTCTTTCCTAACTCGTTCCCCATTGAGGCGCCGAACAAGAATAAGGACCAGTAGTTCCGTCACAACTGGCGTTATGCTAATACCGCTATGGTTAGCGAAGTCGGTGCGACTGCCCTTCTTGAATATTGCCACTATAATCGATTCACTCCAGTTAGCTAGGATGGTCTCTACCTTCCAGATTTGTTTGAACAGCAAGGTCATTGCTTTGCAGAGGATTCCACCTCCATCCTCAAATAGTGCAGGCGATTGGGAATCCAGACCAAGAGCACAGAAACCTTCGAGGGCTGTAATTGCGTTGCGGACCTTTGCCTCCAATGCGGCCTCTAAGCTAACCTCACAACGCTCGTCTTGCATCACATAAGTAGGAGGAGGTCCGGAAGCAGGAGTCCAACTGAACTGATCTTGCATGTGCGCCGCTTTACGAGTCATACGGCGTTGCTTATTGTGAATAAGAACGCCACCCTGTCTCTGATTATTTCACTGACGCCTCGTTTCCTGGGACCAGTGGTACGGATAAGCTGGAAGAGCTTACGATAATTGCCCACTGTTTCTGCTTCCTCCATTTCTTGAGCCCGACCGGTCCTCAAGGCTGCATTGTCAGCATGCAGGCTCCGCTTTAGTTCACGCTTACTACTCCGTCATGTCACAATTGGTTAAGAGCCGACCCGGAGATTTCTTCTGGATTCCAACAGGTTCACCGACCTCTCGGATAGCCAGTGATCGGTGCGGTGACGATTGATAGTGTCACAAGCAGATGTTCCTGCGTCATGCATGGCGGCCGAAATCCTATTCCACTGAAGCTCAGTGTCATTAGGACGAGAGAGCGAGAGTTTGGTGCACAGGGCATCCTGACCGAGAGCTGAGGTAACTTCTCAGTTGCCAATTGTGGGAAGCGCTTGGTACGCCTCACAGTGAAGTTCATGGGAAAGCGACAGCGTATCGACATGATCAGATTGAACGCAAGTACTGCAGAATGAGCGACAATTTAGCATGGATCCACACCACCTATAACTTATGGCAATGTGATCCATTTGGGTCCGTCGCTTGTGTGATACAGGAGGACGCCAAGTGGCACTTCGGCGACCACTATATCTGAAAGCCGTACTACTAAAAAACAGCTGATGCTCCGCACACAGTTGCAGCAGACGATCACCGTTGTCCGTACGGTCAGAGTTAATCCCATAAATGTCACCTAACTGAGCTTCTGAAGCACGCAGGTGACCTACTTGTGCATTCATATCCCCTGCAAGCACTACAAGATCTGAACTGGTAGCACTGAATAGCAGCGTGTTCAGTTCGCGGTAGGTGTGCTTGGTAGCATCTGAACTGCAGTCGTTGAGAGCACAAGCGGAAACCACAGACAAACAGCGTCTCGTATTACTTCGTGAATTAATTTTACTCCATGTCATCAAACAGGATGCACACAAACGGCTGTTCACCGAAATCCAACCAACCAATGATGACTTCGCCTTGGAGCTGGGTACGATACCTACTCCAGCTTGACCAAAGGCTGCCACATCAGTGTCTCCGGATGCCTTCAAGCAATAACGTGGGGACAAGCCGGGTGCAGTTATTTCAACAATCCATGAGGGTCATTGATCCTAGTTTCGGATACGCAACACACGTCTATACCTAGTGTGTCTAATGTGCTTGCGAGTACATCCTGTTGAGCTATTTGTCTTAGAGTGCGAACGTTGAACGCCGCCATAGAAACGGAACTGCTTGGTCTTATGAGGGACTGTTGCCGATAGGCGTCCAATGGATGGCGCTGGATGGTAGCTGTAGATGGTTCGATTCGAGTGCTATTACTGCTGCTGTCACATAAGCTTGGAAGTATGGAAGGAAGATTGGTAATGGAGGTCGGGTAGATCCGAAGCTTCCCCGGGGGCACCAGCCAGTATAGCTCAATGGGTCGTACCGCGTTAAAGTCCATTCTGGTCGTGCAGCTTAACAGCTCATTTGGACAGTGGAGTCAACTAACCTTTTTGTGTCAATCTTACGGTACCTTTGTTTCCGGGGCCAACTTTAGCGCAAGCAGATTTGTGCACAAACCAGCGCGAGATCTGAGTCGAGATAGGTTGGCCAGAATGATCTGCCGTCATGTATACTACTTCTCCAACGGAAACTGCTCGCGATGTGGTCGATCTGGGACCAGAACTGTGTGTAGGATGGAGAGTGCCAGGTTGCTGGACCTCAGCTGCTATGCCTGAAATTGGTGCTGGAGTGAAACAGGTGGTTGTCCTCGCACAATGTGATAAGCCGGTCCCCATTAGCTGAGCGTTTCTCGTTAATTGCGTGCTGATCTCCAAGTAGGTGTTCATGTGGAAGCAGGCGACCGACTCGTGCATTGAAATAGCCAGCAAGCATAATGACATCCGACTTGTCAACTTTACTCAGAAGGTGAAGTTCGCGGTAATAATAGTCCTTGAAGGAGTCGCTGCTGCAGTCATTTGGAGCATAGGCCGAGACGACAAACATGTAGTGTGTTTCCTTGCGATGCCTGTTAGCACAACACGATCCCTGAAGCCGAACTGCGCTTAGCCAACTGTTATTTGTGAACCAGTTGGGCAGTGCAGCTTCGGCTTTCTTACCTAGTACTACCCCAACGCCAGCCAAACCTGCTTCAGCTGCTTCTGCATCAGTGGATAGACGTAGTTGGCATATGGTTCCGCGATCAGAAGGGGTTGTCAGCCTGAGTATACTGTTGGGATTCTGCAACCGGTTTTCGAAAACGCATCAAACGTCAATGTCGAGAGACACCAGGGAACGCGCCAGACCGGCCTGTTGATTAATCTGCATAAGCGTTCGTACGTTGAAGCAGGCCAATCGGGATATAGATCGAGGTCGAAGTCTGACCTTCGATTACAGTTTTCGGATGTCGGCAACACCGAGGTCGGAGGTAGAATCAACGGAGGTGGCAGTGACAACAAATGAAGTGTTGGCGTGTGATGAAAGTCGATGAACGCCAAAAAGTAGTGGCAAACATATCCATGCTTTTACCCTGCTGGCATGATACCATCCGGTTGCCCAGACCAAGACAGAGCATTGAGTTAGGGAACTCTGCCCGAGCCTTCGGCTCAATAACCTACCCGCATCTCAGTGGGGGGAAGTCAGGAGATCCAGTAGACTGGGAGCCAGTGCCTGATTGTTCGGTTCATATACCATCCGTTTGGCGATCTGCCAACCTGGAGCCCAGTTCACCCAGAGATTCAGCTTCCAGCTGAGGAATTAGAATACCTTGGTAAAGCAAAGCAAGGGACGGTGATTTTATTTAGTGGCTAGTCACATCCGCCACGTCGCAGTGTTTTTAAACAGACATTTATGGCTTTTTATAGGAAGATCACATGCCAAACGAAAAGGCACCACGTTCTGGAACATTGGGGTTGAACTTTCCACTGAAACGGGGCGAACCCGAACCACCCAGCGGGCATCACGAGGAATTGGTTCGGCAAGCCAGCATTAGAATCGGATAGGCAAGATTTGTTGGCGAAAGTCATCTTAGATGGGATACGTTTGCATGTGTGGTTAACGAGGTAAGAGCAGTCGGGTGCGAAAAGTGCAATATTATAATATTAATAACAATGGTTGTTGTTGTTGTCGTCGTTGTATTGGTACTAGTAGTTACATCATCAGTAATAGAAGCAGTGGCAGTTGTACTGGTGGTAGTTGAAGAATCAATGTTTTCATCAACTGGTGCGGTATTATCCCGTCGCCCAAGTGTATGTAGCGTTGTTAATGTAGGGAACTGTATCCTGAAAATTTAGTTTAAAAGCCTACTCGCAGTGTGGCAGGGCGCAGCCAGGGAACGCTCCTACGGGGTGCCCGAGACTAACATCTCAGTTAATACGTCTCTCGCTTGGTCCGGTAACGAACAAGGGCCGAATTCTCCCTTACAACTTCAGCATCCATCCACTCGAAAGCAATGCTCCACAAAACTGAACTATAAGACAGTGGCTTTAGTTAGTGGCGAGTTTTCTCCGCCTCATCACAGGGTTGTTAAACAGACATTTGTGGCTTTTTACAAAGAAAACGCTTCACTCCTTCTTGAAACGCTGCCACCGAACCATTCGCTGGAACAGGATTCATCTGGTACCACGAGGTGTTAGTTTGGCAAACCAACTGCATCAATGAGAAGCAACTTACCGGCTTTAGATCTTTCGACAGTGAGCACCTGATACATTTCGCTGTGTTACAATAGAGTTAACAGCAACTTTTTTCTCGGTCCTTTGCGGCACCTTTTACTACTCCCGTTTCGGTCTTTGGCATATGCTTAATGCCCATGAGCTCGCGCCTTTTGCGACGAGGGTAGTGGGCTTCACCTTCAGAGTATTGAATCTCACTCAAATGTTGGTCAAACTAAACACGGTTATCTTTGCTACAGACCCGACAGCTTGTTGGATGGCCTCCATTGTTTCATGGAACCTACTGTTTTTGTATTCAGAGAAACTGCGGGATGAAATTTGGGAAGACCTTCATCTAATATCTTACTCTTGCTTCCATACACAATCATACTGCTCTTCATATATTGGTCGATTTGTTCAACGGTGTTTGAGGACGATTTTGAGTGGCTTAAATGCTTTGCCATTTTGCACTCGAACTCGGTGACTTTGAACCGATTCTTGGGACCTGCCTGGTAGTAGGAATTTCACCTATCTTCCTTAAGACCGAAGAAGCCATTCCGATTAATGGAGTTTAGTGTGGTTAAAGAAGAGATTTCTCATAACAAATGAGACCCTACCCTCATTCACGCAATCAACATTTGAAAGAGAGCTCTGAGCTGATCAATATCTTTATCGACCGGTTGAACGTCCCGTGTTCTTCAAAACTGTGCCAAAGCGTCTACACAGCCCAGGATGAATTCTAAGTATGCTGGTGGCACTGTTTTAGCTCACTTCTTAACGGATGAAACTGGGCCGCACTGTGGAGATTTTACATTTAACGAACAAGACTTGTTATTGCTATGTAGTCGAGAGGTGAATCTGAACGATCAACCGGCCCAAGTAGTGGTCAGTCACCCGAAAATCCCTGGCCTATCATGGATCGTTTTCTTCTACCAAACAGCCCCAAATCAGTATCAGCCAAGGGTTGCTTTCGATTTCCCGAGCTACTTGCGTGCAGATTGTGAAGTATGCATCCAATTTTCTGGGATGCATTGGATAGTAAAGCACAAATTTGAGGGTAGCTCTTGGCTTACCTCAACTTTACCTCCAAAAGCAATGAACGAACGTTGGGTCAGTTTGGGTACAGTCAAAAAAGTGGAAATACGAATAAACATTACCAAAATTTGGTTCAAGTTTCCAGTGTTTACTGCATGCTGCCACCCATTGAAAACGAAGCGTTTCGTACGTCAGCCTGATTTTACCATGCCGGATCACTTTTCCGATGTGCAAATATTACCCCAGGATCCAAATAATCGACGGCTTTTCGCACACCGGCAGGTATTGGCCATGAATTCACCTTGGTTTGCCGAACGTTTTCGCACCGCTGCTCAGTTGAATAGCGGTGATATCGGTCAACTCATCTCCATTCCCTTTGACTACGATGTAGTGCTTAACTTTCTACATGCGGTCTATCCCAACGGGGATTTTGAGATAACCGCCGAGAATGTCGAGGGCTTGATGGACATGGCGAAGGAATATCAAATGCCTAATTTGATACGCAAATGTGAGAAGTGGATGTATAAATTTCTAGAAGGTGGTTCAGCTGTATTGTGTTACTATTTGGCTCGTAAACATGAATTACCGCAAGTGCAGGAAGCTGCTTTGCTCCATTTAGCCGAGCTGAACTCGTCCCAGCTTCGTGCTCGCCTGAATCTCGATATGAAAGGCAAATCACCTGATACACATGAGATACTTTTGAGCGATCTGTGCCTTCGTCTGGCCGGCTCATAATCCGGTCCTATGTGAGTTTCAACCTATCCTTCCGATTAACCGTTTGGATGATTCCGATGCGAAAAAGACGTTGCACGATGGATGATCCATAGAACGATCTGCTCTATCCCGTGAATACAACCAATAAAATAGGTTGTGGCCGATTCAGTAATGACGTTTTTATCACTTTTTCATAGCATTAGAACTACTAACATGCAGACTTTTAGACAACCAAGTAACTACACAAGCCTGGACTTCTCATCAATGAAGCTACATTATCTAGTCCCGGATTTGTTACTCTTCCCAGCAATTACACCCGACTTCTTCCACCCTACAGCGTAAGATCTGATCAGCGTTCCCGACGAAGCGTACTGAGAACGCTTGCATATATGTCTCTTACTGTTGTCTAAGCGCGTTAGCAGTTACGGTGAATACTGGTCGTGCGTCGTGTTTTGGGATTTCACTTGTATGTCGATGATATTTTCTGACTTATCTCACTGTATCAACTTATGATTGCCCTGTTTTAGCTAATACAATGAGAAGACGGGTGCCGCAGGATGATGTCATTTCGTGCTCTCTGATCAGATACAAACGAGCAACATCGTAAATGATCACTGAAGGAAAGAGTCAATAGTTTGCTTGCTGGTAGGAAGACAGTCGGTATACAATGTCACTGGCTACAGCAGTATCACAGGTGGAGGCCATGACACTTCTTCATCACCACTGATTCTGTTGTAGCTTGTGATGTCGTCGTCGTCATCATCATCATCATTACACGTTAGCTGGAGGTGGAAAACACCTCAGATATTGTGCCTCTCCTCCTCCTCTTCCAACCGCACCCACAACGGGCAAACAATGCACGTCGCGGGAGTCGGTGTGCTGGCATGCGCAACATGTGGCCCAGCCACCGGAGCCTGGTGCGTGATATAATGGTGTTGAGCGGTTCACTCGCTCTTCCTGCACCAAATACGCGACGCCGAACACGTTGATTGCTCACGCGGTGCTCCCACCAGACATGAGCTAAGCTGCGAAGGCAACGATGATCGAATATGACGAGCCTCTTTATGTCTGTCGACCTGATGGGCCAGGTTTCACAGTCATATAGGAGAGTTGGACGGATGGTTGCGCTGTAAACTCTGCCCTTCAGGGCAAGAGTAATGTCGCGTCTGCGCCACAAGTGGCGGAGATTGGCAAAAGCACCTCGAGCTTTTGTTATACGGTTCGTAATCTCATCTTCAATCCCACGGGTGCTAATATAGCTGTCCAGTTACTTGAATTCCTGAACGATTTCTAGCAGATCACCACAAAGCGTTAGCGCAGGGTTGGGTTTCTGCCAATCTTGGGGAAGTACATTGCATTTCGATGGAGCAAAGCATAGCCCAAAACGATTGACAGCCAGTGCTAATCGGTCCAGTGCTGTTTGGCATGTTTGAGAGCTGTCACAGCTTAGGGCAATATCGTCCGCATACTCCAAGTCAAGAAGTCGCTCACCAGGAAGTAGCTCCACACCTTCTAGGTCGTGTCCAGAGAACGGTGTTTCCATGGCTACATCAATAACGAAGTTAAAGAGGAAAGGTGACAGCGGGCAATCTTGTCTTACACCGCTGATGATACTGAAGGGTGGCAACAGTTTGCCATAAACCTTCACTCTGACCAACTATGCGCGTACAGCGCTTTGATAATGTTTACATATTTATCAGGCACACCTTTTCTCAGCAGACAGTCCCAAAGGGCACATCGATCGACTGAGTCGAAGGCACCTTTTATGTCAAGAAACACGACAACGGTGGGTCGCCAATAAACCTGGCGGTGCTCCAACACTTGACGCAAGGTGAAGATGTGGTCGATGCAGCCCCGACCTCGACGAAATCCGACTTGCTCTTCACGAATCTGGCTTTCACGTGTGCTAGTCAGTCTGTGGAGAAAGACAGAGGCAAGCAATTTAGAGGCAATCGAAATCAGACTGATCCCTCTGTGATTGCCGCATTCCAAACGGGAGCCTCCCTTGAAAATTGGGACAATGGCGGAGCAGTTCCAGTCTGTCGGGACTGTCTCCTGCTCCCAAAGTTTTACTAGCAACTCGTGTAGATCATCTACTAGAGCAGGTCCCCCGAATTTGAAGAGGGCTGGGGAATTCTATCTGCCCCTGCGGCCTTATGCAATTTCAACAGCCTGATCTCACGTTCGACTTCTGCGCGTGAGGGCAGATCCAAGGAGACGGTCCATGGAGAAGGGCGCTCAATGCCCGAAGAAGAAAGCGATAATTCAGGTTGGTTAAATTGTCTTGCAAGGTGTTCAGCCCAGCGCTCCAAGCGTTTTGACAGGCTGTGGATCGGCTGCCCACTCTCTGTCTTTCTGCCAACATTCAAACTGTTGTTTCTTTGCTTCAGTGATCGTTTACTACTCCGCTCATTTGCATGTGATAAGAAAACATGAAATGATGTCATCTTGCCACACCTGTCTTCTCATTGCATTATGTAGCATGATAAGCGATACGCAGTGCATCATACTGCTTCTTTCTGTGTGTTTAAATCGCTTAACTTGGACGCCCAGGTCTTCACTTACGTTTTCTTGTTGGATAGAGGATATGCGCAAGTATATATATATATATATATATATATATATATATATATATATTTGCAACATCTATGAAGAGACATTGCGCCATCGGAAACCAGGGAATTCAAAACAGAGTACATAAATAGTAAAAGAAAACACAACGCAACGCAACAAAGTCCGTGGTTTCGTCAGAGGGCGAGATACTACCCGGGTGCCTAAGCCGAAGTAGGGTGTTGACTTACGGGACACTGTCCCGAGCTTTTGGCTGAATAGCCTGCCCGCAAGTCAGCGGAACGAATTCAGGGAATCACGCCCTTTGAGATCCGGTGACTTGTTGCTCAGTTCATACGCCTTTCTTTTGTTTCTTTGTCAAACAGGGGTCCAATGCTCCCCAGAATTACAGCACAAAGTTGCTGGAATACAATGCTTCGCCAGGATGAAGCTAGCGACAGTGATTTTATTTAGTGGCGAGTCACGTCCGCCACGTCACAGTGTCGTCAAACGGATTTTTGTGATTTTTTATAGGGAGAACGCTTGCCAGGCGAAAACCCACCACGTCCAGGAACACTGCCGCCGAACCATTTGCTGGAATCACTCAGCTGGCACCACGAAGAGGTTGTTCGGCAAGTCCGCGAAGGGGTGGCTAAGCTGGAGGCAGACTGACAAAACCTTCACAAAACACAAGCCACGGAGGTCGGTTTGTCGCCATGATATCACATGTGTCCAAACAGGTCCTTTATCCATGGGGTCCCAGTCCGGGCATTTTGGGGGGATCAGCCAAGGCCAATTTCGACGTGTATGCCACCATCACTCTTTACCATATCATAGTTGGTTTTCCACGCAAACCCTAACCACGCAAACAACGCACGTTGTGGGAATCTGTGTGTTGTCATGCGTAACACATGACCAGGTCATCGAAGCCTGGTGCTTGGAACACGCAAGAGGCTGAACACTCCACTTTCCATTCCTGCACCATAAGTAAGACACCAAGCACGCACATTCTCCACGCCGTGTTCCCACCAGACCAAGGTAAAACTGCTAAAGCAGCGATGGGTGTAACAAGCCTCTTTACGTCTATCGATTTGGTGGGTTATGTTTCACAACCGTGTACTTGGGTCGGAGAGGTTGTTGTATTGTAGACAACAATCTTCAGGGAGAGAGGACTGTCACGCCGATGTCGCAGGTGGTTAAGAGTGACAAAACTACCTTTAGTTTCTGCTGTGCTGTTCGTGACTTTATATATTATACCACATCCACTGATATAGCCGTTTAGATACTGAACTTTCTGGACGACTTCTAACTGATCACCACCATCATGGCAGTGGTTGATTCTCACCAATTTTGGGAAGGCATTTACATTTCGGGGGCGCAAAATATAATCCGAAACGGTGGACAGTCAGTGCTAACTTGTGTCGGCAGGTGTCCGAGTGGTCTGCAAGCGCCGCTTGTAATTATAAGGTCGCTGGCTCGAATCCGAGTAGGGTCAGTCGTTCGCGCGGTATACTCATCCCACGCGCGACTGGTAGTGGTCGCGCCGCAGTGAAACGTCGTTACGGCTCACATCTAACGATTTATTCATTTTTTCTAGTTCTGCTTGGCAACTCTGTGCTATCACATATAAGGACAATATCGTTGGCGTAATGTAAGAGTAAAGACGTGGACCAACTGGGAGCAGATCCACACCTTTTAGGTCACATCAAATGAACAGTGTTTCCGTAACTGCGTTGCTTGCGAAGTTAAAAAGGAATGGTGAGAGTGGATATCCTTTTTCTTCACCGACAGTCATTGAAGCGTGGTGACACTTTGCCATAAGCGCTCATACTGCCCGAACTGCGTGTATATAGCGCTCTTCTAATACGTGCATATTTCTCGAGCGCACCATCTTGAGCACGCATCCCCAGAGGTCTAGTTGTTCCACTGAATCGGAGCTGCTATTGTTACCGAAGATTGTGGACACTGTGGACCACTAATAAACTTGTTGGTGTTCTAGCATTTAATTTACAGGAAATCTATACCAATACATCTGGATTTCGAAGAAACACGGCGTTCTCTTCACGAATCTGACCTTCATGGGCACCATTCAGTCTACAGAGGAGGGCAGAGTCAAGTAATTTAGTGTCAGCTAGGCTCAGAGCGAACGCTATATGAATGCTTCACTTTGAACATGCGTGTATCCTGAAATTTTGGACTGTTACTGAACGGTTCCAGTTTTTTGGGACACTTTTCTGTCACCACAGATCCACTAGAATGTTGTGAAATCATCCCGTGAATTTGACGTAAGCTGAAGAAAGTCTATCTGCTCCTGCGGCCTTGTGCAGTTTCATCAATTCGATCTCACACTCGCTTTCTTTGGTTTCAAAGGGACGGCCAAGGCAGAATGGCGATAACTGGACGATAATAGATTTGGTAGTTGCAGCCGATTATACTGCCTTTCGAAGTTGAAGGTCATTTCGAAGTACACA